ACTGGTGGGCCGTTTGAGGCCTAAGTTTGTACAAAACGTATTCATGTCGTAATCGAAGATCAAGTCAAACTGGATTTTGAATAATTTATTGGAGTATGTCAAATACAATAGAATATTTTGATTATGTATTAATATAACAAACAAGCTATTGGTATTATTTTACTATTGTAAAAATTCAGTGAATTGTTAATAGTTTACGTCAATAAGAAGATAATGTTTAATGTAATCTAATGTCACTTAATATAAATTTATAAACGAATTATATGAAGAATATGCAAAATAATAACTTCTGTATTTGTTATTTGGTTAACGCAAAACTGTTTTCTAATCTATATTCTGATACTAACACCCTTGGCGAGATTTTTACGGCACTCCCATTTTAGGGGACAGTTATGTAAGGTTATGTGAGACTGTCTAATTCAACAATTTGGCGTCCCTTTCTGTCCAGCGCCCTAAGCCGTCAACCCTAATATCGGCCCTAGATTATCTTTTATAAATTTTAAAGTAATGAAAGGTTTTATAAGATTGTAAGTAATCAACAAATTAATTGTAAGTGAGAGTGTAATTTAAGAAGTAATGAGATCTAATGAAAGTTAAAGAGAATTGAACGAACACGGAGGAGTTAGAAAGTGACGAATGTATGTTGATGTCGAACTAAGATTAACTTCGTTACACGCATGGGAAATCTAAGACGCATCAAATCCGCTTAACGAGACTTCAATTGTATTAGTACTTATATATTCACTTCAAGTGACATAGTTATTTATACCGTCCCTTAGTCTAGATTTCGACTATAGAAGTTGTGGTCAGTTAAAGACCATGTGCCAGTAAGAAATTGATTTTTATTTTTGAATAAAACTCAATAATTATTAACCCAATTAAAAAAAATTGCCGTTAAAGCTTCATAATCACTTAATAACAAAGACTATATTTGTTAATGGAATCTCAAAGCTAATGTATTTTATACCTAATTTTTCGCAACTACGCAACACAACTGTCTTGTTGACAAAAGCTTATGAGTTTGAAGTATGTAAGTACTAAAGCGGTTAGTGCTTAGCTTAGCCGGAGAAAGGCCTAGGCTGGACACAGGTCATTCACTCCGCATACCGCAAATACCTGGATCCGGTCTTTCATGCTTTATCCCGGTTTCATTGGCTTAAAGTTGAGGTGTGGTCGTACTTATAGCGAAACCTAATAAAAAAAAAAAATTAAATAAACGTTTTTACTGAATAATACAAGAGAGAGAAACAATTATAGTAAGAAATTAAAAAAGAGTGAATTTTCGAAGTTTTCAAGTTAAATAATTTTTTTACTTTTTACAAATAAAGGATATAGTTTACATTAGCAATGATCAATTAAACATTTGCTTTTGATTAATCCCTGTAACTTATTTTAAATTAAAAAGTTGAGTAGTCGATTAATATTATTTTAGCAAACGCCCGCTGCAATATTAGCCACACACTTTATTACGAGGACCGTATATAGAAATAGTTTGTGCAACGGACGTACAGGAAGAACTTTAAAGTATACAGCGTACTCCCACACCTCACGCCACGCTTATTGAGGTAGGCAGCGCTACAAAATGTGTTTATAACGGGCTTCCTGATCTCTGACAACTTAGTATTGGAAAATACGTTACTTTCTTGAGACAAGTTTGCTCTAAGATATTCTCGGAAGTTACGTATTACTTGACTTGTGTTTAAAATCAATGCAAATATTTGAATCAAATCATCTTTACTTTCATTTAGTATATTTCGTTTAGTTATTTTATTTAAATATATAATGTATTAGCTTACGCCCGCGACTCTTGCCTATGTGTTCTTCCCGACTATCGGCTACATCTGTACCAAATTTCATCCGAATCCGTTCATCCGTTTAGGCTACAAACTCTAACAAACATCCATTTAAACTATCGCATTTATTATATTAGTATGATATGATTTGATTTATCCTATTAATCTGAATAAATTATTGTTTCTCAATGTGTCAGTTATTATGAGAAAAAAAAGTTGTACCAGTAACATAGGTCACGAGAGTTCTGAATTTTTTGCAGAGACGTCAAATAACTTCTTTGTATCGCCATCTATCGTTCCATAATTACTATATTTAAAGTAATAATCTTTTTTAAATCAACACTAACAGCTTGTTCAATACTAATCACGTCGAGGCTTTCCTTTGCTTTGTTATCAGTTCTCGTTATCGTTAAATCAGCAATTATTTTGTCTACCTCACCTCTAGTATACTTTCACACTTATTTCGAGGTCAACACATTCAATTTATGGTAACAACTATCATCACTTTGTGTTAGTAACGTAAGTTAAGGCACAGATAATATAACTTTATAATATATCAGTAAAGTAATTGTACTCCTTGAGGTTACTTTCCTAGAAATTACCAATAACCTTGTGCTAATGGTAGGAAGAGGTAATTTACTTCTTACTAGTAACTTCTAACTACAAATGCAAAGGTTTAGATGGATGGATGTTTACTAGAGTTTGTAACCTAAACTGCTGAACGGATATCGAGGAATTTTGGCGTAGATGTAAAGAATAGTCGTAAAGAACAAAGGCCAGTTTTTTTCTATTTCCACACGGACAAATCGTGGACGAAAGCTAGTGCTGAAATTTTAATAAAACTATTATGTTCTGTAAAAATGTTTTTTGTCCGTCGACAAAGATAAAAAACATTTTTCAGTCGTCATTTTGCAATATTGCCACATAAAAATTAATAAATCGTGAAAGTATTCGTCATAAAACATTGTTTATTTCCGAACAAAATTAAATGAGCAATAAAATTATCATGGGAATTTTATTCGTAAATTCACTTTCAATTAGTGGTCAAAACTTAAAACTGGCCAACCACAATCAACGGAAATGAGAAGTTTTTTTTTTAATTCGACAGTTGTTTTTTCCTGTGCCTATACTTTCAGGTACATTATCTTGTACAAGTTTTTACTTTCATTTACTCAGCCGGTGATTTGTTTTTTTATCTCAATCTGTTTGTTTTTTATTGCCAGTAATTTTTTGCCAGTCTCATTTTTGTTTGACTAACGCGATAGAAAAAAAAAATTTTTTTTTTATTCATTAACACGTAATCATTAATCACAAAAAAAAACAGTTTTAATCTTTAGATCTAGTTATAGTGAATTAGTACAAACTATCATTGTCCCTTTTTAAAGTCTTCCATGATACGAGGTAAAACTATATCTATGTGACGTCATTAAAAACTATGTAATCTATCATTATAAAGTATTATTCCTACGGTATAGTGTTTTAAAACTTTATCTGTTCGAGACTAATGCACCTAGGATCTCTTTTCTCACAAAATTGCTAAAAGGCTGGTGAAAATTGCATTGTATCAGTCCAATGAACCGTCAGTTGGCCAATGCAGGCTTGCTGGGAACGCGGCTGTTGTCTGTGAATGCAAGACTGCAACAATGTTGCTTGTACTCGTGGTTATACGTCTCGAGGTAATAACATATTACTGAAAAATTAAACTAGAGAAAAATTGCCTTACGTTGGATATTACTGATTGTTTTATTTAAAGAAAATACCAATCGAATTGAGACAATACCTAAACAGAAGTTGAATGACTGACGAGGAATGCAACGAAATACTTTTTTTATATCATATTGTTGTTTCTAAACAATCGTGCAATCTGGTTTATGGTAAAAGTGCGTAATCAGTGCCATTCGGCGTTTGTACTTCGTTTACTGCTTGCTCATCGTCCTAAATAACTAAGTTAGTAGTAAATCGTTGTTGTTTAAGTCAGCATTTTGTTGTTGAAATTTTGTTGGAAAGTACAATATTTTGTTATTAAATTACGATAGTTAGTTAGAAAATACAATACCGTACTATTTTGAAAATGTATCCATTTTTGCAAATACAACCAAAAAGTAAATATTCTAACAATATCCTCTTACTCACCAGAAAACAAAATATGAAAAATAAAACAATTAAAAACACACATCTACTCCACATTTTAAATCTGTTAATTTCGTTAATTTATAATGTTAGTTACAGCGCCATCTATTAACAAAGAGATAAAGATAACGTTTGCATTGTTACTCTAGCTACGGAAAGATGGCGCTGTAAAAAAAATTATGAAGCTTATGATTTTTACGTTAATTTATCGCTTTATTAACTTTTTAAGAGGTGCCTTAGTGTGGATTTACAACGGGATCACTCACTGAATAATATATTTTTTTCCCGATTGGGAGTGCTGAAGTTGTGTCTTAAGACATATAAAATGCAGGAATTAATTTAAAACTAAAAATAGCGAGAAATATCTTTTATTTATTAACAGATTTCTATTACATTTAATTATTAAATTTGGTGTTAGTGAAAAACAACTATCTTTTCATAATCCCTATAAAGCAATTTAAATAACAAAAATATATTGTAAACTTCTAAAGTACCGTAAGTTTCCACTGCTGAAATAACAGAACAAATCATGAGTTTCTTTGTTTTTGTAGTGGTATATGGGAAACTCACAATAACTATTCAATTATTTGTTTAACACTGGTGTAATACATAGTAATGATAAATTAAAATTTACAATTTTTATAATCGAATATCATTTTCATTGTAAATAATATTTATTTCCTTATTTTAACATTAAAGGTGAAACAGCATTGCTGGGTTTGATTTTCCGCGTTCCAGAAAGCCATTTTGATGGGGAATTTGCCCTTAAAAGAAGAAAAACACTTAAATAAACAATAAATGATAATTAAGAAATTTATCTTCGCACGAATGGGCAGGCTCGCCCGGTGTAATACCACGACCACACAGAAAACAGGCGTGAAGTGGAAGCAATTCCGCGTTTCGTCTGATGAGTGTGGTGCCGGAGGCCTAATTCTAGTCCCTTTCCCTTTCCACCCTTTTCTTAAGAGGAGAGGATAGGAAGGAAAAGTGAATTTGACAGTGGAGGGGACGCATAGCAAGGGGAAATGTCCTATTTATGTGCATCTCTTCCGTCCATGAAGGGTAGGCAACGCATCTGCAATTGCGGATGTTTATGGGCAGCGGTCGCTTTCCATTTCGGTGGATTCAGGTGGTCGCTTGCTCGTTTGCCACCATATATTTTAAAAAAAATTAAGAAAGGTAAAAGTGTAACTCCAATTGTTATTTAGCTTTGAGTAGTTGCGGATGTGTACAATACATTCACATAACATCCAGTGAACATTTATAACACTAGGTACCACGGATTGTTTTTTATTGTCTTTGAAATGTTTTCTAATAGTCGCAGCGAGATGTTATATAGCCTATAGCCTTCTTATTTAGTACTGTTATCAAATTCAAGAAGTTATTTTTTAAATATGGTTATATTTTCTGAGATATAAGTCTAAAATCGCATTATTATTTAAACTACTTTTTTGGTTGTAAAATCAGTAGTTACTTACCGGTGACATCTTGCCCAGAGTGAAGTGTACGTCGAAATTCTTCCTCTCTTCTGTCTCTAGAGGACAGTTGACCAGCCCACAGACTTCCTCCGGTGTTTTGATCACAGTATCATACGTGTTGGTTTTCTTATCATCGCTGTATAGAGCTAGTTTGAGGTTGTTTGCCGGGAAATCTAGGAAAAGAAGATGTTAAAGTTGTATTAGTAAAAAGTATTATTTATAAATTACTCTCACCCTTATTGAATTAGAAAAAATACAAAGTAAATCGCCTATATATTCTTCCAGACTATCCTCTACATCTATGCCAATTTTCATCGAGATCCGTTGAAGTTACATACTCTAACAAACATCCAACAATCTAAACATTCGTATTTATAATATTAAGAAGTAAGGTTAATCTATATTACTAAAATGTCTAGTTTACTCCTATATCTCCTAAGATATAATTATATTCACCTCAAGTAATCTTGTTTATTACTAGGTCGCAATGTAAACAATTATTATCCGTTATATAAAAACAATAATTTCTGTTAGGATAAATATAGACATTGTTTTCACAAACTGCAAGAGATGTCAATGAACTCGAACATAAATAGGAGTTAAAAAACTAAAACTGATTAAATTGAGTTATTTAGAATTTACGATTCAAATCGGTAGATGGCGTTGATTTTAACTAAACCTGATCATGTTAGCATTGTGCTATAAGCTGGTCTTACGTGGTGTGAAGTCAACATTGACGGAATAGGCTTTGTCAGGCTTGACGACGCAGAGACGAGGGCCGCGGGGGCAAGGGTCCACTGCCACGTTGTGGATGCTGCACTGCGACGTTTCCACTGCAACAAAACAAGCATTAATGTTTATAGCATAAATGTAATTTTGGAGAAGAACTCTATCTAGAATTTTTAACTCTAGAGTTGTCTGTATAGACAATATTTTAATGAACTAACTCTTCAAAGATATCTTCGTAGCCTTGAAAATGCACCTAATTAAATATAGCCTTATTGTAAGCTTATGACGTCTGTGTAATTTTTTCTATATTCCAAGACATTAATTGGAACAAAACGCGGAATTTCTGGTCTTGAGTGATTGAAATTCGGAATTTTATAAGGACGTTTTAGGCTTCTTGGTTTATTTTAATTAGTACTCAATACAATTCGCCTTCATAAAGACTAGTGGTTTATGCTTCTATAGCCATGTAGCTATTTTAGATTACTCATAACATTCAACAAGTCAGCTTGATCCATCCGTTTCGGAGAATAATAATGGCTCAATTTAATAACAATTATCTTTGTTGTGTTTATGAATACACGAAAACATTTGGATTGTAACTTGGATAGAACTGTTATTTGGATTGATTATAATTTGGATTGGAACATTACATTGGAAAATAATTGGATTGCTATTATTGTTGTTATTAAACATGCTTTAATATTTAATATTTGTAGTACTTTCTTCGAAAAGGTTACTTAAAGAAGTTGACTAAAATGACCGCTTATTTCTTTAACATCTGCTCGGTCGTTGTTCTTCGTTCAATTAATCTGTTGTCTGTAGATATTAATGTAGCTATTTAGTACTTAGATGGTTGGTTCTAGTATCCTCTGAGATAAACTGTAACCTAAACACGAGGAGTATTTGTGGAGATTGAATGAATTGGGTTAAGGTTAATTGATACGAGGGGAGAAGATTTGAGTTACTCGTAGCAGTTTAAGAATTTGGGTTAGCTATTTTATTAATCAAATTCTTAGTACTCTAGGCATTCAATCAGATATTTAAATAATATACAGGGTTATTCTTACCGTCTTTGCAGTTCTTTTTGATGATAAAATCAGATTGTACGATGAGGCAGCACAAAGAGAGGATGATGATACGAACGTCCATGTTGAGCGAGGCACCGCGCGCGACTGTGGCACACCGATCATGTTTGTTATAACAATTGGTCATTATTAAACGTTCCTCTTCGATAGGGTTGCGTTAGCATCCGTTATATAGAGTAATAGCTTTCGCCCACGACTCCGTTCGCGCGGAATTAAAAAAAATGCAAGTAGCCTGTGTTCTTCCAGCCTATCCTTAACATCTACGCCAAATTTCATCGAAATACGTTCAGATGTTTAGGCTACAAACTCTAACATCCATCCATCCATCAAAACTTTCGCATTCATAGAACTAATTTTAAATCAAGAAAGACCGGAACTTTAGAGAGAACGGCGACAACCAATCTACCAGTTATTTTTGTAACAGC